ACATTCGTAAGATCATGTTGACTCGCACCTCCTGCTTCAGGCCTATCTTATAATGACTGATGTGCTCCATCTCTCCCCACCCCGTTCTTGCTGCTAACGACATAAACCTTGTAGTGTACTCAGCCACCAATCCCGTCTGTTGCAAAGCTCTGAGGTCTCGTTGGGCTCGGTTCTTCCGGTCTGAGTCGAAATAAGTAGCCTCAAACGTGGCGGCGAAGGCTTCCCAAGTGAGAGGTTCTTCGTCATCGGGACGTAGTAAGCGCTTGTAAAACGGGGCGGCCCATTGGTTAGCCTTGCCCGTCAAGTACGATAAGGTGAAGATGATTTTAGTTTTGTCATCAGGGAATGCATGAGGGTTGGCAAGTAAGTACAGTCCGACTTGATTGACAAAAGCTTTGGCAGGATCGCCTTTAGTTCCGTCAAATTTGTCGGGAGTTCCCACCTTGGGACCGCGAGCTGTGCCAATAAGAGATTTGAGGGCTTCAACCGTAACTGGCTCTTTGACCCCGCTACTCATAGCTACTTCGGGAGTGGTAGTTTGTGGGTGGGTCGAAGGGTTAGCGTGGGATTGAGATGCGCTACTGAATTGGCGCTGGAGTGAGGCTAGTTCCTCTTGCGTTGCCTTGCGCTGAGCTGTCTCTTCTTCCAACTTAGTATTCAAGTTGGTGAGTTGCTGAAGTATATTCGCGATGTTTGCCAATAAATCTTCCATTGTGCCGGACTCTTCTGAGGTTAAATCTAGATCTTGCGCCGATACAGCTTTGACTGAATTAGATGAGTTGTTGGATTCTTGTTCCTCTGCAGGAATAATAAAGTTTGCCGCCTTTGCGTTCTTCTAAATGTTAAACTATAGCCTGTCGATCTTCTTGATCTTTGTGCGATTTCTTCAAATAAGGTTTGATTTGAATTATATTTCCTTTAAGGTTTGTCGGTGAGTTTTGGCCTTTCGATTCTAGTTCTCGTAGTAGTCGTCCGCTGCAGATGATGAGACACTGCAATATGTTATGAACCAGTACGCAGCAGGGACTAAGGAGAGAGCCAGAAAGGGTGCTATCCAATAGGTAACTAGATTGCAGTGTGAGTCTAATAGAGATACAACGGTGAGGGTGAAAATCCCTGCTCATCACACTACAAGCATAATCCGGTATAAGGATTATTACAGCTAACAAAGCTTACAGGTTCCAGATTTGCTGCGCGTCAGAAACGCTGCATTTCGGCATCCGGTCAAAACAACACTTTAGAAATGCATTCTTACTCCTGAGATGTGGCACTTTGACTCCTTTGCAGCATGAAGGCGCGGTGTGAACTTTTGTTGATGTTGTGTCATGGGGTTGTTGGGATGATACGAGGTGATGAGTGAGTAAACTCAACCAAGCCAAACAACAGTTTGCTCATCTAGATTTCGAGGTTTTGGACCAGAAGCTCGATTTTTGTCCACCGCAGTCGTGTATGGCCACGAGTGGCCAAACAGTTTTGGCCCCGAGCGACTTGTGGCTATATCTCAAGATCCGTCTCAGCTATTGAGAAATGGAGAGCAGGATGTTGTGTAGGGAACCCAGTGCGCAGAATCTTTGTTTTGGGAGTTTAGGCATTAGGGGCTCTCAAACCTGACCCGGTTTCAAAAACCCAGTTGACCCAGTTGACTTTTTGGCAGTAACTTTGTATATAAATTTGACATTTATTGACAGCTCCCAGCCAAAAACTCAACTGGGTCAACTGGGTTTTTTGAAACCGGGTCAGGTTTGAGAGCCCCTATTGATAATTACAAAAAAAGGTTTCATAATGAGGAGGTGGTTTTGGCAAAATGCCCCGGCTGATCTCACGCTTCAAATTTCACATTAGCCGTAAGTCCCTCGCTCAAGCCTCGGGCCTTTGGCGCGAGGGACTTTGTTAAGTTTGAAATTGAGCCCTTTCATCAGGGGGTTTCAAGCTAAAGGTTTTCACGTATTTTCTCAGGCAAGGAATGCGTTTTAGCGGTAAGTTCATTGCTCAAGCCTTGCGAAAGGGAATCTGTCAAGTTTGCCGCTTCCCGTGGCCCTCCATAAATAGTGAGCAGGGTTTGAAACAATCAGAGGATCTCCCAAGATCCATGTGAACAAGTCAATTTAGGAAGTTGCAAATTCATTTTTTTATTGCATTGCTTAGAGTGCCTCCTGAGCCGTAGGCTACCTTGCGCTACATCTACTCGCGCTCCGCTCCAGTAGAAACCCCTATGGGGAGAAGGAAACGCGCTGGCTGTTTGACGTATTACAAGTGTTTATTTTGGGATAAATGGGGGGGCAGAAGGATGGAGTAATTTAAACAAAGCGTTGTGATAGAGGTGTAAGAAGATTCTTAGGAGTCTCCTCTTCAATGATTGATGAAGAGACTCCTAAGAATCTTATTCCATCTCTATCATCCTATACAAGTCATCCCTGGCGGAGAAAAATACAAGCCATGCTTATCATTCCGTCTTTCAACATCGAGCTCAAGACGAGAATTCTGCCTATGGATGAAATGGTGCGCGGAGAAAAACAAAGTCAGTCATTTGTTCAATCAGCGGTAGTGAAGGTGGAGTGCGAGAAGTGGAGTCAGATAGTATTGTAAGCCAGGTATCGTCATCAGTCCTGATGGACCTCATTGCTTGACTCTAGTAATTTTTTTGGCTAATGGTCATCATTGGTAAAATTTTTGGTAGCACGTTGGAAAGCGGTAGGAACGATGCGTCTCGGGGGGAAGAAAACGAAACTTACCAGGTGGGTCATCTTGTGTGGTGATGTGCGCATTTGGTTCACTGAGGCCACCAAGGATGCAATTTAAACCGGCGAGTCAAAACAGGCTGAAATGTGGTAACAGGTGACATGTAACTGCGGAGCTGTATGTGTGGTACACTTTCAGAAATTCAGACATCCGGGTTTCGCTGAGCCATGATATCACCATGATGAACGTCACGCGCAACCTGTCCACCCATTCCGATAAGCAAAATGCAACTTCTATTCAACTTCCACTCGCAGATGTGGTCCGATCGAGCGACCCTTCCGACTGGCGATATATAGCAGAAGGTGCTGCTAATCTAGTGGTAGTTCACCAACCGGGTCTCCAACGAAGCCACACATCTGGCGATGCAACCGGGCTGGAATGCAAAGCCTTGAGATTGAGAAAACGCGCCGTCGTCGATGATCGAAACGAACACCATAAGGAGAGCCAAGGTTCCATCGCCCCGGAGGATCCTACTCTTGCGGAGCCGGTGGCGATGACTCGGGATGCAGATGCCAAATTGAAAGCCGCTCAAAATGAGAACCTGGCGTTCGTAGGCTTTCAGGAGCGGGTCGTAGCTCAACTATTCAAGTCTCAAGATGTATTACAATTCACATTAGTTCAACTTGATGCTAGCTGGCTGCAGGCCCTTAACTCGGCCATTCACTCCAGTCGACCAGGTGCTCAACATACTCGCTCGGAAATCGATAAGACCTGTCCATTTGGATTCGTAATGGAGGACTTGGCTGGCGGGCTCACAGAGTCAGGAGGTATAGTCGAGATGGCGTTTGAGATCAAGGTTGAGTGACAAGATGTGGTCATAGGTTTGACTCATCTTTACTTTTTGATCCAAATGCCTATACTCCTGGCTCTTGTTCAAGATCATACCAACTGACATCAGTGGCTTGGGATCAACAGCCCAAATGGACATTCTTACCCCAATCGATCGAAAGCCTTAAACCTGATCATCGAGATATCAAATCGAAATATTGCCGTACCTGCATCTATCGCACTGTGCGCGCCACTGCTACTTCGATGGAGGAGGAGCTAAATCCTTACTACACGAGCAAGACAAGGTTCTGTCCGTTGATGCTATTTGGTTCGTCAGACCTCAAAACCGTACGAAACTCGGTTGGTCGGTTGTACTGCGAGTGGATCAGTGCTGCAACCCCAGACTCTCTGGTGCAACCCACATCCTCAGATGATCCTCGACCCAGTCAACTTCACAACAACTTTCGTGTCTTCAGAAATGGATTGGTCGTCAAACCAGGAGAAATACAGGTATGTCGATTTGACTTTCTCATCCTATTATCTTGCTGCATGTGGTCTGATATCTTTTTAACCATGGACTGCGTAATCAAAAACTCAGCTCGAGGAAAACACGTTGGACTTGTTGGCGACCGGGATACACCAATCAACTGGACTAAAACGACTCGATGAGCTTCAGCGACGGCTTGATCCCATCGATCTTGATGGAATCGCTGGTCTTCTCGCAAGCGAACCTCACGGCGCTGATCTTGATCGGCCAATTGAACTAACTGAGTTTGAAGCTCTTCTCCCACTGATCACGAGTCAGACGAGCGCCACCGAGTACAATGCGTCGTTCGAGAAGCTTACCACCAGACAAAAAGCAGTGCTTTACATGGTTTCAATGACTTTGAAAGACTGCTCAGTCTTTATACGGATCGTCAAGACACTGGAACAAGGAGGGCAGGAAGAGGAGCTGAGTAGCAGCCCACCCGCTCAGCCTTCACGGAAAGTCGAGATCAAGATGATCGACTTAGACCTCAAGCCACTCTCGAGATTGAAAAAGTACGTTACGCGTGACGCAGAGGTCTTGAGTCATTTCAAGCAGTTGCTACAGTCAACTGCTTGTCCGATACCATGTGTTGAATTACCACAGCCTTGACACTGCAATGGGGATCTTTCTCTCAACATCTGAATTGATGCGAGTCTGACAGGCTCTATGTTATGCGCGGATTGATCCACGCCTGGTGTATAACATTACTTGATCAAAAGTTGTACTTTTTATCTTCAAAAATCTTTGTTTTCTGTGTGCAGATCTTGCCCTCATTTTGGGGAAGCAGTGCAATCAAACCTTAGTTTCTCAATGACCTCACATAGAGTATTGAAAGGACCAAGCTGTCACAACAAGGAGTGATTTGCCCTCTTGAAAAAGACTTACCACTGCAGATTCATCTGGCAACTGATTCAAGGCATCTTTTGCCCTCCACATAAAGCTTCTGCAGCTTTAAAGACTTTGCAAGGAGAGAGACCTGTCCCCTATGGGTACTAGGCTCTAAGCGTAGCGATTGTAGTGTCAAACTGATACCATTATTTTGTTCAACTGAAGTCAAATTTTTCATCCACGTGTATATTTGTCTTTAATTCAGGATCAATTGCAAAATTTCAGATCGACTAAGACTATCCAGATTAATTTCAGTGGGTCCAGAACCTGGATGTAGCAACAGAATTTGAACCAATGTTCAATCAAATTGAATGAAAAAGAGAGAAATATGAGAGAGATTCTAGGAGCGGTTTATAGAGATGAGAGCAGATACATACCCTCCTCAGATTCCATCCTCAGACTAGAGGAAGTTTGATTAGAATCGTAGGTTAGAGATACGTCGACGGTGGGATTGGCCCAAATCAGTGGGCCTAAATACATATTGAGGAATTCACGGACTCCTCTAGACAATGAGAAAGACAAAAGTCAGATGTCATGATACAGTATAGTTTGGATCTTGTAAATTGAAAAGAGGCTTACTTGAGCTTTGCATCTACTTCGGATGATTGAGAAAGTGATTTAGGTACAATCAACCTTACCCGAGTGACTGTCTTTCGTTTGCCGATGTCCAATGAATCGATCAAAAGGCGACCCGCATCATCATCTGCTTGAGGAGTGGCGAGGATAGAAATGCCCTGTAGACGTTCGTTCCTCAGTCGGTTCATGACATGCCGTTTGCCTCTCTTCCTTTCAAATCTGAAGTCGGGGTCATCTTCGTATGTATTTGATGAAGAGACTGCTGTTTTCTTGGTATCGGGAGCAGAGGCAGCAGGCTGAGTTGCAACCGGATCGATCCGCTCCAATTTAGCCAAAAATGTGGCTCTCTGATCCATGCCTCGGACTAGGTCGACGAATTTCTTGCCCACGAGCTTAGATTGCAGCATACTGGTTGAGTTGCTTGCAGAAGGCTCCACGTTTTTTTGTTGAGAAGTTTGGTGAAATCCCCGGGAGGTCGAGCAAAGAGGTATGGAGCTGCATATTCGGATGGTTGAACGCAGGTTGACAATCCTTCTCTCAATCAATGTTGACATCGTAGGGTATTTGATTGCGGATGAAAAGTGTCGTAACCAAAAACAAGACCTCGAAGCACGCCGGATTGAAGTCTGTGAGTCGGTCCTTGGAAAGTTTAGGGAAAGTTTTAGATACTTAGGGTGACTTAATCCAGGGCTTGTTAAGCTTACAGTGCAGGTATGTAGGAGGCGCCGCCTGACCCCGCCCTTCACCTCGTAAAGTCCCCATAAAGCAAAGAACATGACATCCAGGGATCTATCTAGCTTAAAACTGTGTCCAATTAAACATCATTTCAAGAATGATCCTTGGATTATGGGCTGCGGATATCCAGTCTGATCAAAATCTCTTTCTGATTATCCAATCGGTATATACACCTTGCTATATCTTATAGTTTATATTTTCGATGGAAGATTCAAAATTGTGATTTGAAAGGCTCAAGAAATCAAATGAGTGTTGTGTTGGATTTCAATAGAAAACATTGAGAGAATGACCAAATCTTGCCGTAGAGGAGATTGGTACAACTTCGAGGATAAAGAGGGTTAAAGGATAGACAAGGGATAAAAAAATGGCGGCGACAATAATAGCATGAAATATCTGACTACGACATGAGGTGCAGTAGTATGAGTGGGTATATGATGAGACGAATGGAGATATACAATGAAGATCGAAAAAGTGGGCTAAACTTAAAGACATGCGCCACAGTTTTTTGAAATGTGACCCAAGAACATTTAGCGAGACTTGGTAAAGTGAGCAAAAACCATAAATATGAATAAAAAATATAAGATAAACGAATTAAGTGTCCTTTGTGAAATGATGATAAATCTGAAATGATACAACAGCTGGAAGAAGAAGCCGGGGCGGACTTGAGGGTGTAAGAAAAGATTGAATTGAAATATCGAATGACACGAATTAAGATAACCAAGCATATGTACTTAGATGTCAAAGTTCTTAGTGAATGTTGAAGTCATAGTTTATTCAAAGGTCATGGCATAGTTTGAACCCCCCAAATTGGAATAGAAAAAAATCAGCTCTTCCATCACACAGTAGATTGAGATAGATGGAAACCGAGGTACCTTTCAATTCTTTCAGTGAAGTTGTATTCTTTGACATAGTAGACATCGAGATATTTTTCCAGATGTGCTTTAAATCGCTGGAGTCTTCGACATCATCTTCATTAAAGTCCAAGAAGCTTGATGAGTATCGAACTTCCTCGCGGATCTTGGGTGATTGAGCTATACCCGAAGGTGGGCCATCTGGGACCTCAGAGTGGCAGGCGCTGTCACGACTACGCGTTGATGGAGAAATGGAACTCGCGGGAGTATCGTGCCACAGGCTTGAATACGAAGCTGATTCGAGTGTGTGACTGGTTAGGCTTGAAGCATCATAAGATCCAGCCACATGTCTGTCCGTTCGTTCATCTAGATACACAAGCGGCTGAACTGGATCTACGTGGATATAATTGTCGTCCCCGAGTTGATTTTCAAACGACATGCGCGAAGAAATATCCGATTCTGACCGCAGATCTGATTCAGAGAATGGAGTGAATGTCGAGAAAGGGGATAATTCTGTGATTTGGAGAGAGTTTGGTGTTGATGCTCTAGACGCATTTTCAGACTTTCGTGGTCTCAGTATGTGGCCAAAAAGTCCAGATGCGCGCAACCGCGAGGTTCGTGAAGAATCATGCTTGTGTGTGGCTCCTAACTATCAAGGGATAAACTTTCACAGGTCAATGAATGTCGACAGTGATCAAATGATACCAGAGATGCTTACGTATGATCTGTCCTTGAGGTCTTCCTCGGATCCTGATTCTGCACATACCTCCCGCCGAGAAGCCAAAGGTTCCGCCTGATGCTCCAGAATTGGAGTTTTAGTTGATTCAGACGGTTGAAATGGCAAGAGAAGAGTTGCGGAATTTCGTACTTGACGAGATGCGGCAGGGTTTTGGGGCAGTGCGGCCGCTTGATTGGTTATTCGAGTGAGTCTTCTTCCTTCCCGAATCGCAGTTTGGTATTTGTGGGTCATTGGGCGCTCAGGCAGCTGTTGGACGATCACTCGAGCGCGAGGTATCGAGCCGTAGGAGTCCAGTCCGGGAATGATATTGGGCACGATATCGGGCATGGCGGAAGGTATGACAGAGGGCGCAATAGATGTGTTAGATGAATGGAGGGAAGTTGACTTCTTAGCGATTTCAATCCCGAGACCGCTAGTCTCATAAAGCCTGGTCATCTCCTCCAATTCTGCCAGTCTTTTTTTCCTCAAATCATTGCTCGGGACGTCCAGACGTGAACAATGAATCGGAAGTTGGGGTTGTTGGAGTTCCCTATCCGGTCTACTTTTGCGGGCTCCTGCTCGACGTTGATCTACAAGCAGTCGCTGGTCTATTTCCTCGATGCCTTCCTCGACCGTGCGAGAAAAACCACCACATGCGAAGCTTTCATCACTACCCCGTTTTCGCATAATGGGTCGACGATCGTGCATGGAAAATAGAGGGCCCAGTGGGCTTTTTCTCGTGGGAGGAACCAGGGTCGACTGCATTGTGTTGAAGCTCTGGGGTGTTCGGCGCGCGTGAAAGGCGAGCTATAGAAGTTCGTAAGCGGCCGTATGGCTTCAGTGATTAAAGGAAGACGAGAAACGGGTCGAATAAAATAAACGAAAGGAAAAGCTGATGAATGTCAAAGATATTAAAAGAACTGGATGAACCTTTAGGATATTATAGAAACCAAATAATGTGTTGATAGGATATGATTGACGAACTCTCACGCGGCTAGCTCTACAAAGGGTCTTGCGAACAAATGGGTGAACGATAAGATAGGATAAGATATCACGAAAGATGATGGACCCACTCTTTGTAACATTCTTGTGCATCAATTCCCACAAATCATGACGTTTTTCCTATATCAACTCGTATTGAGCGTCATCTTCTCTGACAATTTCTTTTCCTCAATTAATGGTTTGATAGGTAACGTATTTGCTCGAGTTTCGACAGGATTTCAAATAGCTAGCTTCCTCCGTAGCGCGCCAACCCGGCATACTTGAGCAAATTGGCGCAAATTGAAGATTTTCCGGACCTAATTGTGTATAGACTAAAAAGCGTTTACGACAAATGACCACACAAGCGCAAGTGAGGCTTGATCTGGCTTGATTAAAGGCTGGCGAGAAAGAGGAGCTCGTTTCTGCGTGAAGGCCTACGTGAGCGAGCCACAATTGGACCTAGCTTAACACGAGCCCCACCACACGCGGCGGGACCCTCGAAGGAGGCACTTTGGTGAGTTAACAAAGGTTAACAATTGGCAAGAAATCGGAATGAGAATCATGTAGGTTTGATTCTTCATCCATATTCTGCGACATATCTTACGAATCAGTGGCGATGCCGTTCCCTACTATGTAGAGTCTTAAAGTCCCGTACGAAAAGAGGAAGCTTGGCCTGCCACGACGGAAGCTCCCTGTGCAAGCAGCAAAATGCCAAAAATTGATCGGTCGACGGGTTTATATTTCGGATTCTGCTTCCGGAGTTTAACAGTCTGCGGATTGAAGATGGTGGGTGACCCCGCGATAGGTGAAAGAAAGCCGTGAAGCATGAGCCTCGGCACACCGCGCGTGGTCATGTACTACCCATCAAATTTGTGATAATATGTCGAATCCTAATTTCGAACGTCGACATGCTACATACAAGCTGAGAACGACTGCATAAAACAAGCAATCACTGACATCGATAGCTTCGATAAATCTGGGGCCTCCCTCCGAGAGACTTGTTCGGAATAGGTGGTCTACAGAATACGGGGCCCGAATATGGCTCTTCGATGGTTATCTTCAACCAACAGTCAGCTCATACCAGATTTGGAGGAGGGTTCTAACGATCGATCTATGCCATATATCATCTCAATCCCTACTGCGGAAATCTGAAAGATCATGAGTGCCAAGCGCTTACCTGGGATTATTTCCTTTTTCAGTCGGCTGATAGAAATTAACTTTATATCGTTGGAAGGCGCTATACCTATTTCCTCTGCAGCAATCCATTTAAATAAGTCTCAGACGGTCGAAACGTCCGGTTAAGGAATCAAAGCCAAATCATAGCATCTCATCTACAAGAGAGGAGATATGGAGTCCAGTGGGACTTGTTTTGTAACTCCTGAGCTCAGTATAACTACTCTATCATTATTCAATCGTGCAAAGGATGCGTCTTGATCATTACGTGTTAGACTTTCAATTTGGCCGAACACTTTCTTGAGACTCTTTTCCCCTGCGGTTTGATTTTCCTTGAATACTTTTGTAGCACTTCACAAAACTTTATCTTTATCACCACCACATCGTTCTACTACGCCAGTCCCCACGAAGCGAGTTTTGTCATACGAAGGATCGCACCTTCCCATCCACACAAGAATAATCCTACACCATGCAAGTTGATCTCAATCGCACTACTCGCAAAAGGCCTCACTCCACCCGATGTACCATTCCCGATCGTCTCTCGTACCTCTGTAGACGTAAAAGTAACGAAAGCTTCGCATGCGTTGGTAGCTTTAGCCCCGATCTAGTTTCTCACAGTAGATTTCAGTCCCTTTCTTATGATGATCTGTTACAAAAGAGTCAGACGCAGAAGTATCATTATCAAAAACATCTTGATATCTTAGCTCAAAAAGCTCAATCACCTCAATCCACACCGCACCGATGCAGTTTTCTTTTTTACCTTCGAGCCGACAAAGGAGATCAAGCAGATTTGTCAATGCAGACCGTGGACATGGTGTATAATGTCAGGTGGCTTAGATTGATCAGTGAAGTTGAAAAAGCCGTCAATACACGTCCATTCAGGCCAATCAGGGCTCCTCCTAAGCCTGACAGAACAGCAGCCCTTGAGCATGAGAAGAGAAGCGCGCCTTTAGATTCGCATATCCCCTTCCCAATCCCACCTACCCAATCTTTTCCAATCAAAAATCGGACCAGCACAGAGACACGAGAAATCAAAGCCACTGGAATTCCGAAACGCGATGAAGTTGAAGATGATCATTGTGAACTATCCCGTCGTCTTCAACAGACATATTATGATTCGAAATACGGTGGAACAGACTTATTTGAGTCTGGATTCGATTTCCGACAGAGTCAAGAACTTCAAATGGAAAGATGGGATCATTTGGTGCAATTGGAGCGACGCGCTCGAGAAGCATCAGAAGAGGGCCTTCGCAAGGCTAGTCTCGGCGTAAGTTTTGTCTTATCAAATGTGTCTTTCTGTATCATCCTCCTCACACAGAAACTTATATTATGATCTACGAGATTCAGTCGACAACCTCCCTGTCTAGTAATGTTCCATCATTCCCTCCGCGGAAACTGTCGTCGGGTATCCTGAACCGTATGCGAAGGCCTTCAACAGCTACCAAAGAATCCAAATCGAGCTTGTCAATCAGTAATCCAATAGCCATTTCACCATTAGAGAGCTCCTTCCTCCTTGGAAAAAATCTTGCTCAAGACTTTGAATTCTGTAGGCCAGATCTATACCAAATTCAATCTTTCTCGAAGCCTGATCTTTCTTCGCATCCGGCTCTCAAGATGCCCGATTTGACTTTGGGACGCGTAGAGCAGTATGACAGAGCCCCGTCCGCTGATGCACATCGCGTTGGGAGTGAAGTCCCAAAGCGACACGAGTTTTCACCTATTTCACCTTTGTCAAGGCGTGATTTACCTCGGCCTAGAGGACCTCGACCTCCTCGATTGTCCATTCATAGCTCCAATTCCTCGCTTGCTGATGTTGCGCTGACACCTCAACCTAGTATGCCACAACATGAATCCACCGATAAAACAACTACATCAGATCTTACGACTCAGCATATGGTATATCCTGATGTTCCCCCCCTTCGAATCATCAAGCGATCTTTGAGACTTCGGAATGAGACCCCTGCTCCCGAGCATTGCAAGCTCATACCTGAAGAGCCAGTCGTATGTCAGCCAAAATCCCTTGGGCAAGAATTCTACCCACGTTGTAATCACGATTGGGACACCAAGATGAAGGTGGAGCCCATATCATTCACCAGTAGTCTGGATGAGCTGATTTTAAAGGATGTGAATAATTCACAGCTCAGGTCTGGTACCACGAGCTCCCGAATTTCTGGCGCTTTGCCCACAGAGTATAGCGTGGATCTTGGTTCCAAACTCAGATTCGAAGGTCGGTTTCTTTTTTTGGACATGTTACTACATGCCACCACTGGGCTGACATTGTCTTCCATTTTTTGCCTATGGTTCTCCATCGTCCATGCAACTAGACGCCAAACGTAACCTCCTTGAGCTTCCTGTATCAAACTCTAGAAGCCAACTTGGGTCTTCATCTAATCATTTGGGTGATGAAAATCTTGCTTATATTGCAAAAGGAACGTCAAAGTCAATAAGAGATAACACTCTTGACTGTAATCAAAGCTCTACCACGCAAGAGACCCCTTTATCCAACGCGTATGGTTCAAGACACAAAATTGAAGCTTCAAGACATTCCTTTCCAGATCAACCTAAACCTAACGGAAATATAGAAAACAAGAGTTCTCGTATTGGCCAGATCTCAACGCGCTACACTGTCCCACTAGATACCAAAAAAGAGGAAATGAAAGTCTTGAATCAAGTTTCACCTAAGATGATTCTACCAAGTCAATACCTTCGATCAAGAAAAGATTTGAATCAAGAAAGAACCTTATACCAACGAACTCCATTCCACCAACCTATTTCTAAACCAGACCAGTCTTTAGAAAAATCATCAGAAAGTTTAATCTTTGAATTACCTATCAAACCTCAAAGAGATTTAAATACTCAAATCAATGATCAAAAAGTCAAACAAGCTTGGGAGAGTGTTTCTCATTATAAAAAATGGACTGGAATGAATAGACCTAACATTCAAGGAGTGGTAAGAATCCAAGGTGGTAGATTGAAACAATAATCATTCAATTCTTACAATGTAATTTAGAAAAAAAAATGTAAATGGTTTTGTAGATCAAAACAAACCACAGTTGTGATTTTATATACTTTGTTTTTTGATGCATAGATTTTCAACTTGCAAACTATCTGTCGGTCTCTTTTCCTTTTTATCTGGTCACATTGTATGATGACACAGGGGCGAGCCCGCGCTGAACATCAAAATGCAAAGAAAAAGTTCATTTAATCTTGTTCAACTCGTTGCACACCACGAACAGACCTACAACCCCATAATGAGGCAATATAAGCATCCTTTTAAGATTCACAGGTTGAGTAAAGATTTGGGGTTCATCAAAATTGTATAGTCTATATATATTTTTCTTTTCTTAACACATTGTTTTTTACGCTACATGTATTTTTTGATTCTATAGTTGAGAGAGATCCTTCAAAGCACATTGTATAAATCCCATTGAAACAAAGCTACACACAAATCCACCCACTAAAGATACGAGTTTCCTAAACCAAACAAAAAAGAGTACACTAGAAAGAAAAAACCATTCCATATCGAAGTCCTTTTCTTGAGAAACTGATCCAGAAATCTTCATCCATTGATTCATCATTCAGAAGAAATAGATTCTCTAGAAGAATAAGGTAAACATCTAAATTCAAGTCTAGATCTAGTTGTTTGATTCAAAACATTTTGGTTTTGATGTGAATTTGAATTTTGATTTGAATTTGGAGTGGTTGATTGATTTGAAGTTCCTTCAATTTCTTCTGAATTTGAAAACACTCTTGAATCTGATGAATTAGGATTCTGAGTCTTTAACAAAGTTTCTGTTGAACTGTTTTTTAAATGTGACAAGAAAAATAAACAAACTTGAGTCAGACAAGATCATAAACACTGTAGAAAAGTCAGAGGTTTAAGAAGAATTTCCAATGACTTACATTCCACAAACACATTTAAACATTCTAGCTGCATGTTGAGGTGTTGGATGTTGAACTACTTCTGAATTTGGATCAGATTTTGAATAAGGTGGTAATACCATACTTTCTAACATGCAACAACACCTTACCTCCTCCAACTCAATCTAAGATCAGTATTTTGGTTGAGGAAATGATGAAAAAGGTCTAGTCAGATTTTGCTCACGAGATAATATGAACCGGTTTTCCAATTGATAAGATTCTTTTGGTTGTCTGAAAAAATGTTAATTTTAATGTTAGATGGATACCATACATTTGAGCTATGAAATCAAAGATAAAATGAAAAATATGACAACTTACCTCTTGTTGGCCGTCTTCATCTTCTACGGAGTAAAGAATCTCAAACAATAAAGTATGCTATAAAGGCCGTTTGTGTGGCGTTCAGAAAAACTGTCTTTGAAGGAAGAGACAACAAGAACAAGACAGAAATGAAACCCACATATATATGAATATTGGTTTGTGTACCAGGATAAGTAGACGGTCGAATTGAATCATCATTTGGTAATCGTCTGTAGAAGAAGAAATCGAACCCCGACAAAGTTTAAAGACATGTACAATGAGATAATATGAGACAAGAGTGAAAAAACACTGACCCAATGTGTTCTATTTCCCATGAAGAGTGATCATCAGTGATCGTCACCAATGGTATCTCCTCACCTTCGGCTCGAGAAGACCTTCGACGAGGTTTAACATGATGCGGAGCCTGAATATATGATGTTCGACCTGAGTGTTTGATTGCAGTCGGATCAGGCGATGTATCCGGAGTCGGTAGAGGAGAAGGAGATTGATGGCTTGGAGAGGTGGATGAAGAAGGAAGAGGCGGGAGGGGAGGTGTTGATTGGGGCGGGATAGGTACGTGAGAGAATGACCTGCTCCGACTTGTTCCACTACGATGTGGTGAAGTTCGTGGTAAAGACTCATCTCTTCGTCGTATGATTTGACTAAGACTACTTCCCCAACCGTGATGAGGTGATACGGGGGGCGTCGTGGGCGTTGTGGATTCATTATGCTCTTCTCTTTCACGAGAGTGATGAGAACGACTGCTGGTCATGATCAAGTCTCTGATCCTTGACCTGGAACGGGAGGTAGACCGGGAAGATGAGTTACGACCAGCACCATTGGCGTTCGACCGTCCTAATGAAGGAGTCTGAGGTCTACCAGATCGGATTGGTTGCTGTTGATGTTCTTCTTCTTCACTCCAACATGGGTGCCACTCTTCGTCGGATTCTCCAACATTTGAATAATCAAGAACAAAGATCTTACGACGTTGAGGTGGTGGCCAAGATTCGGCAAACTGTGATCGAGTCTTAGGATCCCGATCTTTCATTGAAACGAGCTTATATTGTTGTTTGATGACCGCGGTGATTTTATAAATCTTGAGGAGTTTTTTAATCAATGGTGGTATTTGCTTGAGACGTAATTTAAATTGAAGCAGACCAGAGACTGTGAAGTACGCTGAGCTGGCAGATAGAGTGTAAGGCTATAATCATTATCGTATGGATGAAAAGTATCAGCAAGCGAACGATACGTATTTCAAAGGAGAGAAACACTGACCCCTAGATGATCAGATACATCCGAAACATTGAAGTTCAAAGCAAGTTCACCATTTGCCTCACCATCATCATTGGCTGGATTGCAAACCGCCACAAAATAAGATTCAGTCTCAACTTCATGGTTTCCCACGCCTCCTACTCCGATCAAAATCGAAGATAAATTTTTCCCGATAGTACCAAATCCCAAACCTACACTTGAAGCAAATCTAACTTTACCAATCACTTTGTGAATCGTTCTACCAAATTGACCACGTTCATAAGGTGGCAAATCAGGTGGTAAGATGAATGACCAACAGAATCTATAGTGACCTTTATCCAATACATAAGTTTTATGTGAAGCGTTATAGTGAACTTTTCCAGGATTGGGATGTTGACATGGCAAGTAAAGTTGAGTGGCAAGATCGATTTCGAGATCTGTAGAGAGGATCGTTTGATGCTCATAAGGTCGGTCATTGAAACCAATATACGATTGACCCCAGAGAGAGATGATAACCTTCTTGATCTCTTTAGGTCTCAAAAGTTTCAATACCAGAGTGCCTGTGATGACGGTGCTAGTGTTGTTGTCCGACGTCCCTTGTGATTCTGAACGTCGATAAAATGAATGATGATGAAGTTGAGGAAAAGAAGGAGAAAAAGGAGACGCAACCGATTGGGGTTGCTGTTCTGATGCGATCGGAGGAGATGGGAATGGAGGAGTATGAGCGCTATGACTTCCACTTGGCGAAGGATCGATGGAAGGTGGAGCTACATTTGATTGATGATGGATATGAAGTGAATCGTCAAGTGAATCGTTTAGATGAGCTCGACGAGGGTGAAGGAAGATGAGTGGATTATCAATCGAAACAGATACGGAGACCGGAGTAAGCAATTTGCTGAGACCGAGTGAAGCCCTTGAAGTGCCAGGTAGTGAACCCCGCCGTGGTGTTGACATGGGTGTTAGCTCATCCGAGTTGAGCGGAGGTTCAATAGGCAAATAAGAATGAGAAGAAAAAAAGGGATCTGGAGCATATCGGAGAGCTATGTATAGAGATGAAATGCAACCAGTAAATTATCGTCAGCGTTCAAACAAGCAAGGGAATTCGTCGTTTGAAGGAATTACATCAAAGTACACCGGGGGCAAAGTACAAGAATGGAACCGACCATTCGTCTCAGTCATCTCGATTCCACAATGGTTATGTAGAATGAGAAGTTTTACGTATTTGATTGATGAGTAGTACGAAAGAAAAAGCAAACAAAGGAAATTCCAAAGGTTCTGTTGATCAAGTAAGATCCTGATGTTAATTACTCAATGAGATTAAAGAATTCAAGCGAGTGAATGTTTTGGTCAATCAAAAATGTTTAATGGATGTAAGTAGGTAAACAAAACAATGATGAAAGATAGCGTAAAAATTCAGACAAACTGCAGATGGATGACGATATATTATATAAGGAAAATGAAGCGTGTGGCAGAATGAGACAAAAGCTCGATGAAGGAGTCTGGAGATGAAGACTTGTTTGAAGGATGAGATTTACAAAGCAAAGTTTGTTGAGCTAGTAATGTAGTATGAATACATTGATGATTGTGAATGTGTATTAAATTTTACAATCAACTCGAAACAGAAAAGATAAAGCTTCAGACTCCAGAGTGGGGAAAGAAAATGGTGGATGAGCGGTGTAATCAGAAAATATCAAGAAAGATGACGATAATGACGTTGTACTGAGATGGTCAAATGATAAATGTAGATATAGTTCTTGTTTTACCAAACCGATTTGTCACAAGTTTCTATAAAACGAATCAGATAAGAAGTCAATACCTATCATTGATCAACCCCAAGAGTCATGAGGATGTTTCTATTCTCTTTCAAGTTGTAATATCTTCTCGAGTTCACTATTTGACCATTCGAGCTCATGATAAAACCAATGATATATCCCCCGAATTCTGATTGATCAGATCGATAGGCAGTAAGGAGATGAAGAATCTTAAAAAACCGATCACGATTACATGGGATGTGCTGCCTGCATGGTAACGGAAGGTGCCTGCCACGCCTTTACACTCAACATCATACATTGCTGCGGTCATCTGTATCATCTGCATCTCCTTTATCGCATTCAAGCTTTCAAATAGCCTGGTATCTTCGAGGTTGCGGACGTGGCCGCGGGAGGGGCTCAGTTTAAGCTTAAGCCTGGTATGGATCTAAGTGATGGAGTACTGTTACTTTGATCAATTGAGCCTTTCTTCTTGCTTCTTTGCTCATTTCTGCATCAACGCATCTTTGTCAGTACTTGCATCGGATTTCATGACATAATGGACCACCCATAAACATTTGGAAAGATGGTTTCAGGATACCTTTAAACCTTCACAAGAGGTTTTCACCGGGTTTTCAAATATTCCTTTGAGGTCGGTCTCAAGCAACACGGCGGCGCAGAAATCATGTGGAAGGTCGGGATGAGTGCGGGTGTCGGAAAACGACTGCGGCGAAGCGTGCTACATTCAAAGCCAATTCACATGTACAAACTCATCTGGCCTAATTCTTTCACATTTCAATCATTCATGAGCATTCATGCTTTGTTTGATGATTTTCAAACCAATTGCAGAGTGTGTAGCTGTTTTGAATTCAGTGCTATATATATTCCATCTCAATATACTTGATTAGGTAATCCGGAAGTTGAACAGCCTGAAAGTCAGGTGATCAACCTTACATTCAAAGATAAAGCAGATCAAAAACCATCCATAGCATATTGTTGATGCACTTGGCGGTAGTAGCACCAATGACATCATATAATGCATCACTCAAAACTTGCATTCCAATGCAATGGTGAAGTGGTAAGGTTGAGCTTGCTTGAGTTATCTGTGCTTATCCATATGATCTCATGCATTTGATTTGGTCATCTTAGGGCATACTTCAGAGTATTTCAAAGTCCAGACATCAAAAATAATAATCAAAGAAACTGATCAAGTAGACTCTACTTCGAAAGCTGGTCTGGTAAACTTGCATCTTATGAACTTGAAAGTTTAGCAAAAAGTCCCACAACAAAAAACTTGAATTATAACGCTTGTCAACAAGCGTACTAGTTGATCAGTCATCTAAGGTTAGATATAAGAGTCACTCCAATGAATCTATATCAAGAATTACAAAACCAGGAAAAGATTTATGGCGAAGAATAAAAAGCGCGTGGCTATCACTAACCAACTGGGTTTAAAGAATATGGTTCTTTACAGGTAATTGGAGTGAAATGGACGCGGTTTGAGTTTTGATAAACTAATTAATTGGTTTTGCTAATGATAAAATGGAATGAAGAAGAAATCATCTCAAGCAGAAAGACAAGCAGGTTTTATACACAAAACAAAGATTTAGTAGCGCTCACAAAAGATAATTGATGATGTAACTATTCCCTCTAAGCTCGGATTTCCGCCACAATGACAAATGAAAGTAATTCAAATAAGATGATACATGAATCGGATTTCCGCCACAATGACAAATGAAAGTAATTCAAATAAGATGATACATGAACCTGTGATCAACTCCTAAGTGATTTCACATAACTGGTTTTATGTAATCCGTCCATCAATTTATTCTGTTCCCAGACCAGTGGAACAATGTTTCCCAGGCGTTGATACCGTATTGGTTTTTAACTGAAATGAGACTTGAAAGGGTTCCCAATCTTTTCAAGAATCATACAACTGGTTACAAGAACTTATTTCAGGAGTTCATAACTTTTACCAATTAATTCAATTCACTTTTTCAGGTGGATTGGTTAATTTAATAGTTAGTCGAAATAGTAGAAAGACTTTATGTAAAAAGAGAATTAGAAAAAGAGAAAGGGAGAAAATGAAATTAGAATAGAAATAAACTCATTCGAAGTAAAAAGAATTATTGCGCCATTTGCTCATGTGTTCTTCTAGGGTGTCCTAAACCTTTCTTTTAAGGTATGACATTCCACTTCTGTCAGCTAGGAGATAAGTTACTCAGGTAGCTTATGCCCTAGCTGACACTCCCTCAGACAAAAAAACAACAAAAAAAATGGTTGGTCATTTTTTTACAATTTTTTCCTCTCTTGCCTCCTTCCGAAACCTTTGTAGAAGCGAGGTACCATTTGGTATTTCACTTTCTAGTACCCAATGTGCCATATCCGGCGAACGGTTTTGAAAGACACAAGGAATTGTCGAATTTTCTTGTTCCCTTTCGTTACAACTTGTTGTTGCAGAACACGATGGATTTCCCCATCTTCTTCCGCAACCTCCGGTACTGCCTTTTTATTTACAGTTCGTCGAGGAAACTTTTCAGCATCTGATGATAAGTACATCTTCATCAACGATACGGGAAATACGGGATGACGGCGTGAGAATGCGCCTTGGAGGTCCAACTCGGCCACATTCGCGCCCACCATTTTCACCACAGTGAATGGACCAATAAACGGATCCTTCAATTTTGGAGTACCGGTTAAATTGTTAAAGTGTATTGTCAAGAGTAACACCTGATCCCCTGCTTTAAAAGGGGGTTCGGTATGAGTTTTATCCCACCGCTGTTTTTCATACGCGAACGCCTTGGTTATGCAATCAGCCGCATGCACCCTTGCTAACTCTTGCATATGCAAGAAATTACCGGCGGATGGATGAACATCTAATTTCCCCAACTTTTTGTTGGTCAGCATTCGTGGATGTTGAGGAATATATCCTCTCTCTAGTTCAAATGGAGTCCTGCCCGTACTGGAATGTATACTGCTGTTATACGCAAATTCCAGACCTGGCAACAAGGAAACCCAGTCGTGCGTACATCCTTTGCTGTCTTTGTACAACAGTCCAAATGCACAGTACCGCCGGATCAAGTCCTCCATGGTTTGGATAGTTCTTTCCGCCAAACCGTCTGTTTGCGGGTGATGCGCTGTCAAGAGTTTCAGCTCGCATCCAGCAATACGCATCAAGGACGTCCAAAACTCAGATGTAAATTTAGGATCCCTATCACTAATAATTGCGGTAGGCAACCCACACTCATTTAGCGCATCTTTCCACCATAGATGAGCAAGGCCTTTTGCATCAATGTCCTTATGACACGGAAGAAATTTCGCTTTTTTGGATAATCTGCATACAATTACCAATGCTGAATTATATGACAGATCTCCTGCAGGTGGTAAACCCGTCACAAAATCCATGTTTATGATTTCCCACGGTTTCGTCGGTTTTTGTATTTCTTGCAGGAGACCAAACGTCTTCCCTGTCTTCCTGTTACCCTTCTGACAGGTATCACAGGAAGTAATGTACTCAATCACATCTTGATTATACCCCATCCACCATGCGGTGTTTTTCACACGGTGCAGGGATTTCTCGAGACTAAAATGTCCCGCCAGGATGTCATCATGACAAAGCTTTAGTATCTGTTCCTTCATGCTATCGTGTATGACCAAGCGATGTGATCCTTGCTTCCTGTAGTATAGCAAGTCATCCTCAAAGATGAATCGACCTTGGTCAACAAGTTTTTTCCACTTATCGTCCATGGAGCTAATGATCTCGTTGTTCGTATTCCCATCAGGTTTACTTAACACTCGAATGATCTTTTGCATGTTAGGACACAACCTATAACCCTTGGCCACACTGGCGTAGAATTCTTTCTCTAAATCTACGACATGTAAGCCAAATATTTCCATGTCATCATCCGTTAAAACACATGCTGGGTTATCGGAGTTATTTGGCATGGGGTTTCTTGATAAGCAATCAGCATTTTGATGCTTATCTCCTGCTCGGTGACTAATTGTCATCCGTCCCCTGTATTCCTGGATGGATATCTGCCATCGGAACATATGTCTGTTCGGAGTTTTCATACCAAGCAAGCTTTTCACAGCGGAACAATCCGTGACAACTTCGAAGGTACTTCCATCCAGATAGTAATGCAGTTTCTCCAGTGCCCATACCACCACCAAGCACTCAAGCTGCGTTGCTCCATATCGTAGCTCGCC